TTCTCTGTGAACTAATCTTTCGCCGTGAACTAATCTTTTGCTGTGAACTAATCTTTCGCCGTGGACGGATCATTCTCTGTGAACTCTCTGTGAATTCTCTGTTTCGCATGGTTTTAATTGCGTATGGCATTTTGTGTACTTTGTAGACTTTGTCACCGGAAGCAAATCATGTTGCCTTCAATATTTAGTGTCGGAGAATCACAGCCTTCTTTACAACGCCCACAATAGGGCTAAAGCGCCACCTGCTGTAAAACGAATGAAATGATTAGTTCAAGATTCGTTCACGACTCGTTCATTTTACTGTTCGAGAGTCAAAGATTCGAATCAATAAAAAGAGTCGGTCTTCCCATCACTAATATACTGTATATATGGTAGGCATTTAATTAATGTAGGGTACCTCAGTTAGACACATGAGGGCATTGTTGTTGTTGTTCTACTGTTGATAACAGTGTAGGGAGGTTCGTGAAGTGTAAATACATATATACGTAAATCATCCTCATCTTCATCCTCCTCATCCTTCTGAGTATGCATACTAATAACAATCGCATCCACTGAGCCCAGTAATTGTAAAATCTCACCATGCCTCAAGCCAAGCATAATGTACAATTAATCTGAATCGTGTAAACGAGCCATATTCTTGGCTCGCAGGTGGACTTTCAGCATTTCATTAATTTCATTTATAGAGCGCATTTCATGCACAAAGCACACTCAGTGTGCTTTACAGATATCACGAAATTACGTGAAAGTTATCACGAAATGCACTGGTCCCTCTCCTATCGCAGTCGTTGCGATAACAGTGTCGAACTAAGCTATCTTACATAAATTAAATGCTCACCATATATACAGTACAAATGTCACACATGACATGCCAGAATCTTAGATTTCCCAACCGTACGTACTGTACGTGATTGTTTGTTATTTTAATGTTTTACCCTGTATGTATGTGTGGGAAAATGTCTCACATATACTTTCTCGTGAGCACGAGAAAGTATCTGGTGCGCACGAGATACGTTTCTCTCCCCCCATGTCCCTTTAGGGGCTCCGTACAAGATGAACAAAGAAAAAATCATAGTAAACCCAATTATATTTATTTTAAAAACAAGGGCACGTTTGTTTCAGATATTCCATGTTACATAAGCAGTTATGAGTAAAAAATTTTATTAATCAATTAACTATTAAAATTAAAGTTTGACTCGATATAAACGCCACTGTTTTCCGATGGAACCACGGACGGCGGGAGGACCGGAAGTGAGTTCGGGAAGGAGTTTAAGGACGGACCGCATAAAAAGTTTGTTTTTTACATTGTCATGGTTGTGATATAGATAATCGCGACAGCCACAATTAGTCACGAAAAATATTATACATAAAGAACAACATTGTATTCGTACATTGTAGTCGTGACTGAGTGAATAGTTTGTAGAACGAGGGAAGAAGTCGTCTACCCGCACGGCCTGCTGGGTAATATGTTAACGACATAGCTACGTTGATTAGCGTGTGAAGCTGGATAAGTATAAGAAAACATATTGGAGTGAACTAAATGTTTTACTGACGAATTGCACAGAAACTGGAGGAAGCGAAAGGTCAGGAAAAATTCACAAACATTTAACTATTGTATCAACATCGCCAATTTCATGTAGCCCTAAGTATTGGTAATTGGAGAGTCACCTGCGCTACTAAATTCGATTAATACTACTTCTTGTTCAAACAGTAGTTTGTTGTATTCACACAACTGAGTTATTTAGTTATTTAACGGTGTTCACGATTTTCTTTGTCGCAGGCAGAGACAAGTAGCTGTATTGGGGTTTGAGAACAAAATCAAATATTTTAGGATGTCGATATTTTGTGGAATACACGCAGAAATGTTATTTTAGTTATGAATACAACCACCAGCGTCGGTCCTTATTGTTAGTGTTCTCGAAAGAAAAATGTTAACTAAACCAAGTGACCAAGAGACATGTCCTTGTGTCCACAGACATGTCTGTCTCTCTGACAGAGGAAAGAGACAGGATCCAGCGACAGGTAGAGAAGCTGGAGCAGATTCTGTCTGTCACAAACACTGACCTGCAGCTGTTGAGCAGTGATACAGGTACCTGTCTGCCCTTCTGCCTGTCTGCACTGTTTAGAACTGGTCACATTTTATTAACCCTGTTCATGGCACCACATGTTAAATGCGATTCTTATGTTGTTGAATAAATGTCTTTGTTAAACAGAGGTGTGAATGTTAGCATTTAGCTATGACAGTTTTACTGTTTGGCTTTTGTGTTATTTACTTAACCTGCTAACCAAATGTGAGAAGGAGGGAAGAAAAGTTTGTCACTGTGTTTATTTCTGTGTCATTTTTCAGATAATGAATCTAACAGTGATAAAGAGGTGGGTCAAAACACAAACACAAAACATTTGATAGTAGGAGAGATTTTAAATTATTGCATAAAAACAAATGTGTATGTCTGCTCAGACCGAGGCAGATATCTTGGCTCAGAGAGAGAAGATCCAGAAAGAAATTCAGAACCTGGAGAGTGTCCTCGGACCTCACAGTCTGTCCTGTGTGTCAGGTACGTGTTGGTCACTCTGACTGATGTTGTCCTTCACTTAAAAAGCTGCTTTTAAAACTGTGAACCGTCGGTGTGACGAACGTCTATTGTGGGTGTTTTCAGATGATGAAAGCAGCAGCAGCACCAGTGATGATGTGAGTGATCCAGTCACTGTTAACATTTGTTCCATAAGGACCAGTGAGTTGTGCCTCACCGTGTCTGTCTCCATCTTTACAGAGCGAGTTGGGACTGTCGCTGTCTGTAGAGTCCTGTCTTCAGATGAACCTGGTTTACCAGCAGGTGCTTCAAGAGACTCTTTCCAAGCTGGAAACACTGCTGACACACAACCAAAAACAGCAGGTCAGTTTGAGCTCTCTGGGACGACTCAGAAAGGCGGTAAAGCAGGAGTGTACTAGTGAACCTACGGCAGTGTTTATAAGAACACCAGGTGATGTTTGTAAAAATAATCCCATCTTGTTTGTTGTGTCCTTGTAGAAAGAAGTAATATGTCAGATGTCTGGACAAAGCAAAGAACCTAAAGAAAGGGTCAGATCCTCCTGCCCCTCCTCCTACGAATTACCAGTGACCATGTACCTGGGTCGATTCCTCAAACCCTACTTCAAAGACAAACTGACAGGACTGGTAAGATCTCAAATGTGATATCTGTCAAATATGGGCAAAAAATGAATTTGGTTCACCTTTGTAGACAAGGACAAAGAAATAACGATGAATATTGACTCCTGATGTTCGTTTGTGTTCAGGGACCACCTGCCAATCAGGAGACAAGAGACAAGGCCAGCAAGCTGACAGGATTTCCAGATGACGACAGAATGAAAACGAAACGATGTAAGAATAAATCACAAACGTTTATGATCTCTGCTCTGTCTGTGCTTATGTTTTTTGGTTTTTTTCCCCATGTCCTCATTTGTCCTAATTCTGGCTTCAGGGGAGAGTTGGCAGAAAAAGTTGATATTTCACGCAGTTTCCAGAGACACCATGATGAAACTGATCCAACCCAAACTTTCCAGGTAATGAACGTTGTTGCAGCAGAGCTTCCACTCCACAGCTGTGGACACTGTCTTCTAGAACGTACTGTTGTAGATTTTGTCTGGACAGTAGAGGAGGAACATCCAGGAGTATTTTTACATTTTATTTTTATTTGAATTTAAATTCAGGTTAAATCCATTACCCTGGAAACTTGTATATGTGTTGTACGTTTGCCTTTTCTGTCTCAGGGTGGAGTTCCTGTCTAAGAAAATTACCTCCACGACAGATGAGATGGAGAAGCAACAGATTAGGAATCAGATTGACCATCTGGAGAAAGAAATCGACGGTTTCAGGTGTGTGTGAACGATTAATAGTCTGACTCATCATGATTATTCACACTGGGCGCTGAGGTGGTATTTAAAGCTGGTGGTGCTCCGATAAAACAAAAACATTTAAGTGACAACGTCTACTTGAATCAGATTTCATAAACGAATAAACACATTCGACGCATTATCATCATGACCTTTGTTTCTTTGGACAGAAATATGAAAAAGGAGGATCTAATGGGCGGACGTTTGGATGAACATGATTGGCAGAAGATCTGTAATGTGGACGTAAGTTTCAAAACAACACAACACAGTAATGAGTGGCGACGCATCAGACTGCCTTGGTTCACATTTCTGTCTCCCTCCTAGTTTGAAGGGACGAAGTCTGCAGATGACATCAAATTCTTCTGGCAGAACTTCCTTCATCCGTCTATCAACAAGTCAACCTGGAGTAAAAAGGAGGTGGCGCAGCTCCGAGAAGTTAGCAGCAAACATGGAGCGAGACACTGGGATGTTATCGCCGAAGAAGTCGGGGTGGGTAGAAGGAGGAGGTCTGAATTTGTTTTCCTTTTGCCATTGCACGCATTTTTTTTCATCACCTTCTGTCTCTGTTCCTCAGATGGGAAGGACAGCCTTCATGTGTCTCCAGACGTACCAGCGCTTTGTCTCGAAGACAGTGAAACGCAGCAAGTGGACCCCTGATGAGGACAATCAGCTGAGAGAGCTGGTGGAAAAAATGAGGATTGGAAACTTCATCCCCTATACGCAGAGTAATCACCACACTGAGCTGTGGAACGCTTCGATGTCACAGACACGGTGTCAGTTTTACGTCCTTCATTCTCTGTTTGTCTCTCAGTCAGTTACTTCATGGAGGGCCGGGAGCCCAGTCAGCTGATCTACAGGTGGAACCACGTCTTGGATCCCACGCTAAGGAAAGGTCATTGGACCAAAGAGGAGGACCGGGTAGGCATCTGTAAACTGTACAAGGCCACAGTCAAATCCCAGGCATCATTTATCAAGTTTTCAGTATCGGAGCAAAAACCGTTAACGTTTCTTACCGACATTACGTAATTGCTAATATGCTAATATCATTCGATAATATCAGTTGGCTGATCTTATTGACCGACATCCTTAAACATCCAAACCAATCGCTCTGTCTCTCACTCTTCTTCAGCTTCTCCTTCAAGCTGTTGCTCGTCACGGGGAGAAAAATTGGTGGAAAATCAAGTTGGAGGTTCCTGGACGGACGGACACTTCCTGCAGAGACAGGTGAGACCTGAGAGGGGGATCAATTAAAACTCAGTTTTGTTTTGATTGTATTTCACTCCATGAAGGTATCTGTCTGTCTTTCATCTGTCTCTCTGGGTGCAGATACTATGACACTCTGAAGTCAGGAACAAAGCGAGGTGCATTTAGTGAAGAAGAGAAAGAGCTGCTGCGGACACTGGTCCAGAAACACGGTGTCGGTACGTACATGTCTAGAACAGAAGTTCCTGTCACCTCCAGAAATGTAGTATCAAGCAAAATTGTTACACATAAAATGTATAATATGTTTCAAAATGAAAATGTAGTTTATGCTAACTGAGAAAACAAGCAGTTTTCTTTGTTATTGACCAACCGATCTTTACGTTTGATGGAACCAAATGTTTTCACAAATGTTTCCGTGTCAGGTCGCTGGGCAAAGATTGCCAGTGAGATCCCCAATCGCATTGACGCCCAGTGCATGAGGGCGTGGAGGAACATAAACAAAGCCAATAAACCCGCTAAGGTAGTCCTCTCTGGGAGGGTGGGATGTGACATCACACTGTTACTAACCATAATGTGGAGCATACAGAGATATGTTTACTAGGGATGTAACGATACACTCAACTCACGATACGATATGATTCACGATATTCTTTTTGTCAATGATACAATGTTATCACGACTTTTTCCCATTTTCCCTTTGAACATCTGAATGCCACTTAAATGTCTTCGTTTAATAGCTATTTACAGCCAATGTTTTTGGGCACATACCGCCACCTACTGGACTACAGTGTGTAGTTTCATGGTATGACCAGTGATAACCCAGCCTATGCCTTACACCTTGATGCGTGATTCATTTTTTATTCCAACAAACGTAACGTTTAGTTGCATCGTTACATCCCTAATGTTTACCTTGTTTTTCCATACGAACCAACGAACCGTCTCTCTGTCAGTAGAGAAAAAAGGTTGAGACGGACACGGATGTGGAGACTTTAACTGACGAGAGCACGGCTGAGAGCACTGAGGAGGAGGAGGACACAGAGGAAGAGGAGGAGGACACAGAGGAAGAGGAGGAGAATAGCGCTTCTCATCCTGACAAAGAGAAAGACTACGTCCACACCATCCCACCAATGAAGGAGTGGATTCCAGTAACTAAAAAAGAAAATAAATCCTTATCCTCTGAATTCCTGCT